AATAGACTGGATGTTGGGGTTCTCAGCCTGCCACTCCATGTGGGTGCAGTAGTTTCCTCTTTCCACGACGTACATGCGACCACGGTAGTTAGGCTCCTCGTACAACACCCACCTGTTCAGTAGCAGTGAATAAATAAGAGCTAATGGATCAAACATGTAATAAATTAGTGCAAAGAAAATCAGCTTACTAAACAGTTTCGGGCAGTATTCTAATTTGGTTGATGTTTAAAGATTAAAAACATAAAAACACATTTTCTTCTTTGCTTTTGCTGAGATCAGTCGGTGTAGATAGTTTTGCTTGGATTTGCTGAGGCTTCAAGAAGTCTGGTTTTGAGATAGACTCTTTCTAATGTAATACTTGTTGTGTAATGGTGCCTCCAATAAAACACCAACACTGAAGAGACAACTGGCAGCGTATAAGTAGTGGGAGAAACAGACACCCTAATTGGTCTCTATCAAAGGCCCTTTCGCTGACTTTGAACCTCAGAACATTGTTGTTAAAGCCCCAGAATGCCCCACCTCTGAGACTTCAGAATTTTGTTCATGCCACTAACAATATTGACCAATTACATGTGAAGATCCAGTCAAACATTGCTCTTTTTCTGATCCACAGTAAATTCATTTTCTTTCTTTTTCTCTCTTTTTAAAGACTGGCATTCAAGATAACTATGTTCACATTTTCTTAAACTTATTTCCCACCTTTACTTTAATATTTATTTTATTTTTTCTGTATTTAGTCAGTGTTTTTTAACAAGTCTGCTTTCCGCCAAAGAAGTAGTCCCTATTAAAATGATGAAAACATCTGTTTTGCTGTTACACTGTTAAAGACTGTAAATTTTTTATGTGTGAGGTTTAATACGGAGCAACACATTGGTCATTGGTCTGGCACCTAGAAAAGTTTGCCCTGCACATAAGCCAGACTGGACTTTCTCTGAATGCTAGCCTTTGTTTTTCTTTTAACCCAACCTGTCTGCTTTCTACGCCTACAGAAAATTAATACAGATCATATGTATTTGTGCTTACATTTGTTTATGGAACTATCTGCCTTGTTAAGTACAACAAAAGACAAGTGGGAAAATATATATTGTGTGAAATGACCTTGTAACAGGTCAGTCGAAAGTGGCCAGTTTCACAAAGGTTTAGTTCATTACTTAAGGATAATGAAGGAAATGTTTTAGGGCATGTCTTATGCACTCTTCTCTCAGTTAAATCAAAAAGTATAAATGGCCTCAAAGATACGTACGCCCCATCTCCATAAACTTTGATAGAGTTGATGCAGTTCTTGGTCAGGCCTCGTGCTTGGAGAAATGGGCAGTCGTCACACAGCTCCACGCACTGGCCAGAGAAGTTGTCTCCCTCGAACAGCTCCATCCTGTAGTGCTCTCCATGCTGGGAGGATAATGACATGCGTGATCGCTGAGTCAACAGTGTTTGACTTCAGCTCTCTGCAAACGACCAAGGCTTTCTCCTTTATGTGACAGAGGCTGTATTGTGGGCACAAAACACTTGCACCTATAGAAATCTAAAGGTTAGAACATGTGGAGGATGAAATATAAGTGCAGTTCTTTAAGCTGATTACATAAGTATCAGATGTAAAAACTTGAAAGTTTCTTTGATGATGTCTGTTATGCAAAAGTAGATCCAACATTATTACTTTGAACAAACAGAGGCGCACAAATGAGGCCACACATGTGCCCATCTGCCTGTGTTTTTAACCAACCAAATATTTGTCTGTCCCTGGGGTCTCTATCTTTTGCGCGCACACACACACACACACACACACACACACACACACACACACACACACACACACACACACACACACACACACACACACACACACTCTCTTACCATCCTGATTGGTTTGCAAGATCCCATGTGATCATTGTGGGCATTCCAGCGCTGGAATTCAGGGTACTCTCCATGCTCCAGAATATACTGTTGGCCCTTGAAGTCTGGATGGTCGAAGCAGACGAAGGCCCCGCTCTCCACACGGACAGAGTTCACTCTGTTCATGAACCCTCGGTCCTGGAAGTTGTCACAGTCGCTGCAGATCTCCAGCTTTCTCCCAGTGAAACATTTCCCCTCATAGAAGACAATCTATATTCATAACAACAGTGAGGATTTGAGTATTTCCTCCTAATAAACAGTAAAAATGTTGCATATCAGTTTAGCTAACTGATATGCAAAAAAATCATCTAAGTTTGGACCGGTCATCAAGATGAATGTGATTGTGATTAACTTTTGTTGTGAAACACTGGCCTAAATCTGTGGCTGCATTCTTGTTGTGGTACTCACCTTTCCTGAGTACTGAGACATTTTCCACTGTTGGCTGTTCCAAATTACTCACACAGTATAGGAGTGGACAAATTTGGACTCCCAGATATATATGGACAGCACAGAGTGTGGTGGTATCGCGAGAGAGAAGCAACAAAAGCACAACAATGGGGGGTTTAGATATTTTGCCACATGGACAGTTTCCCTTACATGTGCCAGTGCTGATATTGGAGTTTGGCTCGGGAGGACGAAACAATAGCGGGAGAGAGATTTTGCTTTGATTGGGCTTTGAGAGTGATGTTATACTGAGGCGGAGGGGGTTGCAGGGTAATATTTGGGCTGTGTCCAGATGAGGGAGGAGATGGGGAGGAAAACAAACACAGAGAGGGAAAGTTAAAGCAGAGGTGAAAGGTTGGCTCAGTGGAAACAATAAATCTGTCATCTTGTTTTGAAGTGCTGATAGAACCTATTTTAAAATGAATATTAATGGAAGGAGTGTGTGCAAAGCAGCTCACGCGTTTTAACCGAACGAATGTTTCCAAGAGTTAGACCAGGCAGTCTATGCATGCTATGCAAGTTATTGCATGGTTGTAAAGCACGTTTGTCACCAGCTTTTCAACTATGAATAGATGTAATTTGATGTGGACATACTGTAGGTAGAAGTGAATGTGTGTAATACTTTGCACTATGTAAGATATCTTAGTTTCATGAGCAGCAGCTCTGAAGGACTTAAAGGCATTTCCTTTCATTGTTTAACAGCAAGTGGCTGTTCCACCCTTTTACTTTCCTTTCATTAGATTTATATCAAGAGCAGATTCATGTCAGGGCCTTGGTAATGTTTTGATTCAAATCAAATTTGGTCAGTACAGGTTAAAGAGCACTTAAACAGAGGTATTACAGGTCACACATGATCCACCTTAAGCAAACACAATGTACGTCTGACTCTTTCTGATTCTTTCTTTCTCTTATTCCCCTGAGGTACAAATGTATCTTATAGAAATAGATATATGAGGTTGAACTGAATGCATACATTGCTATTAGCAATTCTCATGAATTATAGACTGTACAGTGGATAAAAGGTGGACAGCTCGTGCTTAATGAGGGCATCTGAGCATTGGAAACTATGACCCCTGAACACAGTGTACTCGGATGAGTGCGATGCTAAGTATATAGACTTAAAAGAGCCACAGCACCTAATGGGATGTTACCATGACAGTGCAAAGTATGAAAGGGTTTATATAAAGAGGGAAAGCCGATGTCCTCTCAGTCACTGGGAGAAACCAAGACAGACATACAGCAAGGTATGTATGTGTATATATAAAAGACTTTTTTCAGACAAATGCAGTTTGTCTTTTAGATCTTGTCAGCAGTTTTTTGGGAACATTTTTAATAACATGCATATAACATAGGTAATGATGTAGTTTTGGGATCATATATGATCTGTCAAATTTAAATACTGCATTGGGATATATGGACACATTTATATACAAACTATATAATTAAACTATATATACTCACTCAAGAGTGTGTCACTTTCTAGAGTCTTATATGACCATTAAACAATACTCAGTACAGGGAAAAGTTTAAAATACATGGTAAATGTCATGAATTAAAAGTGCTGGAATTTGGTGTTTTGAAAGCACTTTGTGTCCGTGTTATCAAGCCTGTGCTTTATCTTGCATAGGCTGCAATGCTGAACAGAACAATGAAGCTGTTGGTCTTGGCTCTTGCTGTCGCCCTGCTATTTACAGCCGGTGAGTCTGTCACTGATTCTCCACTGTATAAACATAACCTCTGCTGCTGTGCAACAGTGAGCACCATTTTCTTCATTATAAAGTCTTCACTGCAGTGAGCTACAACCTACACAAACCACTCTTTAACATCTAAATTAAAACTTCTAAATCCTTGGTAAATGCTATTTTGTCCCAAGATACATTTTGGCCACATTATGACAGAATTTATTCTGTAATCTTCTTTCTATTTCTTGGTTTTCAGGTGAAGCCCTGGACTGCCACCGCTGTGTCCCAAAAAGGGCTGGAGGTAGCTGTGAGCTCACTGTAGAAACATGTAAACCAGAAAAGAATGGGTGCGCTGCCGCCAACTTCCTCAAAGCACCATGTGAGTTCCTCATCTTATATTTCTTCCAGTAGGGAAAGGGGCGAAGAGTACAAGAAGCAAATTATGTTATATAATAAAAGCATGACTTTGATCAACTTTTTGCAGGATAAGGTCACATAGAGCAGAGATACTATTCCTTGTATAATAATGGAGACTGTCAAGTGTATGTGAATTGTGTAAATGTTTAAAAAATGAAACATAACCTTTTCATCTGGCTTTCGTAGATGGCCATTACCAGAAATGCATGGATCTGGACAGCTGCGAAATGTTGAAGATGAACGCCTACATTAATATGAAGTGCTGCAGCGAAGACATGTGCAACACCTTATAAAATTCAACATCAAAGAAAATTACAATTTACTGCAGTCCAGTGTGAGTAAGGCACTTAACCCCCAGTGAATCCTGCAGACTGCAGCTGCTTCGGGGAGAACCCAGGTGTGAACACATTAAAGCAGCTATTTTTAGAAAAATATACTCTGAAGTTCCCTGGACTGAAAAATAAAATACTTTGAAAAAGCGCCTATGCTTGTCCTTATTCTTGTGTTGACACTAAGTTTCTTTTTTTTTCTTAAAGAGCCAATTACTAATCCCCAAATAGGCAAATGTTAGAAAATCTCATCATGTTATACTTGCAACAGACTATTATCTGGGTTATTTCTTGTAATAAAAGCTCTTCCAAGTAGTTCAAGGTTTTACTTTAAATACCTCAATTTACTTAAAAACTCTTGTGCTACTATTAAAGGAACAATAGCTCACTGATTATCATTAAATTGGACTTATTATGCTCATATCCGGCTATATATTTGTATTTCTGGACTAAATTAAACGAAACTTCCATGAATACCAGTTCATAGAAATTCTTCTTCTTTTGTAAGAAAGTATTGTAGCCTCCCAGTTCATGTTCTAGCCATAATAAGTTGTTATAGCTCCCTCCCCCATCTCTTTAAGTCAGCCTGCGTTTGATTGGGTACATCTCACAAACAAAAGTTTGAACAGCAGATGGCTGCAACTCCTGTTCTCAGTCAGTGCTGGATACCTTAGATGTGCCTCTAAAGTGTTGTAACTGCTCCCTGGGGGGAAAAAAAGGAAAAGTAAGCATGGAATCAGCATTTAGTTATTATACTGCAATGAGGTGGAACAAACTTTTATTACTTTGCAGTAAATCATTACATCATTATTCTCCTTGTGCTTGCATCCTGCACCCTTTTCAATTTATTCCATCTTTTACGAAGAAGCACAAAGCATTCAACAAATCAAAACGGCTAAGTACTTCTCTCTTTTTAGCCCAAACATATCAATTATCATTAAAAGGGTGCAAACAAAGAGAAACACCCTGCCTTCCTAGTGACAAAACTCATTAGCTAACAGCCTCTGCAATAATTCAAAAACACAGCCTGCTTAGATAACCACTTTTCGCTTTAATGATTACAATCAAAAACATTTGTACAACATTTTCAACATTAGAAAATGAATGCAGATTTTTTTTTCTTTTTTTCTTTTGGCTGACAGTATCTGCTATGAAAACAAACCAAGGGACAGAGAAGTGGGTACGGTGTGTAGATGAAGTAGAAAAAGAGATGCATATGGATGGGACCAAACAGCAGGTGATGTATCAGAAAAAATGACTGTGTTTATCTAACCATTTTCCAGGCATATGCATGGCTGATAGATATGACAATCCTCTTATCTCATTTTATTTAAACAGGGAAGGGGCTAAATGGAAGCTGCATATCGGGAAGCAAAGATTCATTGAGCCACTGCTAACTTAGTTACAGTTGTCATCATTTCCGATATAGGATTTTTCCTGATACATCTGTGATATTCTGTGTTTTGCATCAGTGCCGAGCCCAGAGACGGAGGGGCGGGTTGTGGAAAATGCAAGACAAGGAGCCACCACTTGTCCTTTTCTTTTATCAAACACATGAAGAAAAACAAGGATGACAAAAGGGAATACTGATAAATAACAGTGGAATCAGAGCCATAAATAGACAATATTGGATATTTAGGACCCTGGGGGTGGAGTCAGTTGAGGTGGAGGAGAACTGGCAGCTAGCCTTCAAGTAACGGGATATCCCAGTGCAGTGTCCTGTGTGTTGATTGGGCGGCCCTACATCATGGAGCAGGATGTTTTTCCTGGCTGCACGCCACCGTCCATCTTTTCTGCCTCCAGGATCATCCTTCGGAAAACCTCCACGGCCGTCTAAGAGAGCGCCAAACACACACGCACACACACACACACACACACACACACACGCACACACACACACAAACACACACACACAAACACACACACACAGACACAGACACACACACACACACTGTGTGAACACTCACATCCACTGGAGCCTCACAGACTTTAGTCACAACAGAGATCTCATTGTGTTGAAGTTGAGCACTATTGCCTCTAACTTAATTTGAAGCTGGTTAACTGACATCCTGAATATGAACTTTGCTACTCTATGTTGAGAAATATATCCAGCAGCAAACAGAAGGAGGGTTTGTTTTGTATTTCACATGTGGCTAGTTTACTGTTGTCTACTATTAGGGTATGATGGCAAAGCTGGTGGCAAAAACGGTTAGCATCAAAAGAATACCGAATAAACACATTTTTGTCTAGGGAGGATAAACTATTGTTAAAAATACATTAGTGACATTTAGTCTACTTGGAGGGAGGAAACACAGTGCTGACATATTGGTCTACACTGCAATGCAGGGGCCGTGAAAAGTGCCAAATGATAGGTCTCGAAAAGGCAGACTGTGTGGGCGCTTCAAGCACACCTGCTATTTTGGGCTGGCTTAAGTGGAATATAAATCAGAGGTTGATTGTTGACTACTAAATTCACTCTTAGCCAGTCAAATCACTGGGCTCATTGCTGTGAAACAGCTAATGCACAAAGAGCTAAGGGACTCCTGTTGAGGTTTCATATTGGTGTAAAGCAGCACAATCTCACTACTGAAGAATACTACCTGATAACCACATTTTAAAGCACGATTGGGAAAGACAGTAAAGCCCAAAATCCCTCTGATATCAACATATGAGCATGCTTATGATGGGTAAAAAGCCTTTAAAGCCACAAAACAAAGTGCTGTAGGGGAGTGTGTGTGCAAAGGGATAAATGTGGCTTGCAGCATAAAAGTGTTTTGAGGGCTCAGTAAGAGCAGAGAAGTGCTATATGAGTACTAGTCCATTTAGCATTTACCATATGGTACTTTTTGCAAAAGAAAGAAGGCAGTGACAGACAGGACTGATGAGCCACTGTGATCCTACATCTCCCACATTAACAGTGCCAGTGCAATACATATCATAAGAGACCCAGTCTGATGTGTGTGCTATTGATTGGACTTTACTTTGAGGCAGGCTATCTGTATGTAATTCAATAAATAGAAAAATAGTGGAAGGTCATGCAGTGGCATTGCAGCTGCAAGACTGTAATAAAACAAAGGAGAAGCTTTTCATACTGTATAAAGCAACTATAGGCGACAAGTTATTATCTCCTGGACTGATGTAAATCAGTGCAGACTGCTTTATTTATCTGGTTTCCTGATTTTTTTTAAAAGGACATTTTATGCAGATTTAAATCCAGCTGTATAATATGCCTTTAATCACATTTCAATTCCAATGTCACTTCATACGTTCGATATTTGCTCTTCACAGTAAAGCGACTGCATATCAGAACCAGATCGTCCTGGGGTGTCTGCTTTAATGAAGTGGAAGACAAACATAAACATGTCACTTTGCATTGTCTCGTTTA